ATTCTGTGTTCTGTCAGTTTCTGAAGTGGGGGAAGCTTTTGTCTGTGGGTCACAGACTTAAAAGGCCCATATTTGTCTCCCTGACAAATCTCTGCAAACCAAATTAAAGCATATTTACATATTTTGTCATCCAACTCCTGAAATGCTTTTTTTTATTATGAAGGATGTCACATTCTAGGGAGTTAAGAATGATGCTTACCTGACATGATGTAACTTATCTAAGCAGGTGACAGTCGGTTCCTATGTGCACACAATTTATCTAGTCAAAGTCAAGTCAAAGTGTTTATTGAAACCCTGTACAATGAAATTCTTACTTTGCTGTCCACATGAATGCCACACAATACAAGTGAAATATAAAGTAGATAAATAAGTAACACTAAATCTAAGGCACTTTAAATCAGGAAATGAAAGAGATATAATAAAAATATATAAAAATATAATAAGCGAATGTATGCTACATGGGAGCTGTATGTGCAATAGTCTGACAGCTAAACATGACATATTTAAGTGGGAAACATTTGGCAAGAAACTTGAAACTTGTTTAAAATGTAAGCTGGTGAAAAATGGTTAAATCAACAGTCACTATTGATAGCAGATTCAATATAAGGCTAGGGGAGCACTGCATAATATCTAACCCTGACATATATGAGAATTGAAGCTGATAAATATGTAAATCAAGCTTACCCTCAAACTACAGCAGACTATGAGGAAATATTGTAATACCCAATTTTAAAAAATGACAAAGTAATCCCACTATTTCCTGTAGAATGCAAATTTATATAGTAAGAATAATTTCCTCTTAATGTTTTTTTTTTTAACCACGGTTAATTAAAAAAACACAAACTATTGCTCAGCAAGGCTGTTGTTTATCCACATATCACCCTGTGCTCTCTGCCAAGCATGACTCTTTGACACAGTTACATTCACAAGGCATCATCAGTCTTTATTGTAGTGTGAGAACTGAGTTACAGAACTGAATTTAAAATACTGTTGCTATGAGATTTTCTTTTTTGCTTTAACAAAGAAGGTAATCATTGCAATCATCAGCTGCTTTCTTCTCACAGTTGTACAAGGCTGCAAAGAATTAATTGATAGGCCTGAAACATTCAGGTCAGGACCAAAATTGCAGTCTACTTTTTTTTTCCCATTTGGTTCTATAGATGACTTGTCTGCACTGCACTGTTCTATTAAAGTATTTAATTGATGAGGTTGGTGTAACTCTATATCAACAAGAAAATAAAAAGCAACAATGAACTGGTCTTACTAAAAAGAATGGAATTGTCAGTGGATCAAAAGCCTGATGGAGCCTTTTTCTCTGTGCCAAAAACCTCCATTGTTGTCCAAAAACATCACTGTTGCACAACAGAGTCGAATCTTTCAGAATCTGGACACATAAAACCAAAACAGTCTGCTTGGCTGATCTGCACAGCTGTTTTAGGAAATTACTTAACCTTTAAAAATAATGAAACTACATACTTGTGACCCATTTATAAAGATTTGGCCATAGGGAAGCTGGAAAGTACTAAGAGATGGACAAACTCGTTGGCTTTTGTTCTGCCCAAGGGAGTTGCTGGCATTAACCCACAAATATAAAATAATGTGAACTTTATCCTTTTAATTTTTTATACTGCTCAAATTCAACATTTTTTATACCCTAAGTTCTCACAAATAGATACAACCAGGACCTACTCAGACATACATTCAGCCTCACTACAGAAAAGACAGCAGAAGGTGAAACTTATTAAAAGAAGTTGACCTCAACTTCCTGCTGCTCTGAGCACATTAGCTGTACAGTTACTGAAAGGTTACAGTAAGTACAGATGCACCAACAGTTTAAATTGCACTGAAATTATACTGTAAGTAAATATAGATAGAAGAATCATTCTGCTCATTTTAGTGTCATGCTCACTTGAAGGCACAGCAAAAGTTTTGTTTAACGAAACCTAACATTAAGCTCCTTTGACCCAGAAATATGTGATGAGCTGCAAGAGCAAAATACAGGATAAGAGGTGAGATACTGCAGTTCCTATTCACCTGCAGATGGCATCACATAATACTTTAACACCTGTCTGCACTGCTTGAGGGAGACATCAATCTAATAGGATGCACCACCGCAGAGCACAGCCACAAATCACAGCTTCCGGAGGATGGTTTGAATAAGATGAGAGGGCGAGGGAGGGAGACGTCGCTGAGTGATTTATTCAAACAATTAGATGGAAATAGGGAATCATTTGAATATCCGCCTCATTGCCAAGAAGAACACCTCAGCTGTGCCTTAAGTGCATATGTGTACTGTAGTCGGAGGAATTTCAAGGCGCTGTAGTTTCCTTTCACTCTGGACATGTAACAGTCAACACTATCATCACTGTCCAGCGAAAACTTTGTTCTCTAGTTGCTTTTGTTTTCAGTTCTGAAACAATTAACACAGACGCTCAGTATTTTAGGAAACACAATAAATCACTTTTTTATTTTTATTTTTTGTCAAAACTTTGATAAGAAGAATGATACTGCTGTACTTTAATGTCTGTATGATTCTGGATTATTGGCACATGTAAAGCTCACTGATCAGCACCATGTGTTCCACCTGTATACAATCAGCAATATAACAGCAATGTGTTATTATTTAGAGGGCGTTACTTGCTGCAACAGTTTCTTGGCAAACAACAGCATGTCTTTCTGCTACAGGAAGTCACCCCTTACAGCATACAGTATAACTGATAAAGACATGGCGATATTTAACCAGCTTTACAGGTGCTAGTAATTAGATTTTTTAATATAATGTAGCCTTTATATAAAGGCTACATTATCTGTTCTCCCCTGCTTCCAATTTTAATGCTAAGCTTTAACTAATTGCCTTGGGGCTCTAGCTCCATACTTGGACATAGGCAAGAGAGTGTAATCAAACTTCTCATCTAACTCGGAGCTAGAAAGCAAATCAACATATTTCCAAAAATGTAAATATATATAGTAAATACGGAAATCTAGATATACCCTCTGGATCATGAAAAAAAAAAAAAAACTGAAGCTAAAAACAAGGCTGTTTTTCTAAGTTCCATAAAAGCTGGCAGATACAAGGCCAGTGACCATAAAATGAGTGTGTTGGCTTAACATCATGTTGACAGAAAAATAAGACACACTGCAACTGAAAAAATGAAAATGATGAAATATAGTCTATTTGTTTTCAACCCTAAAAACAACAAAGGAAGAAATGTGTTGCACTGATTGATTATGACAGTGTCTGTGCAACATTTTGGAAGAACATAGAAAGTCCACCCACAGCAGCTTTTATTGACCTCTCAAACATTTGGATGAAAAAAAAAAAACACTCAAGATCAAAAGGTGTAATTACAAAGGTGGCCAGTGTAGCAACAGGTAGTATGAAGTGTTTCAACATAATAGCTGAACAAGTAACCTTTTTACAGGGTCACTTCCCTGAAATGACAAACCTCCCCCAAGTGGTTTCTAGTCATGCAGAAAGTCTTATGTGCTGAGGGTTAGTGATATTTGACATTTCTGCCAGCACCTCAAAACAATGAATGTGAAATTGAATGTTGAATTGAATATGTGCTGCTTGAAAACCCTATAGGAATATATTTGAAAAAGTCTAGCAATTTGTCTTTACAGAACCACTGTCCCAGTTTCTCTGAATAATCCACCATTGTCGCTGTGCAAAAGAAAGAAAAGTCACATCAAAACTTTTGACATGGGGTCTGTGGATCATACAAAAGAAGTGTGCCCCAACAAAGTTCAATTCATTTCCACTGTATTGGGGTATGGCTCAAAATCTATTTTTACAGCACGCCAGTTTCCCAGTAATCTTATATACATTACATTCAGTGTGACCCGCCTGACTCCAGTCATAATTGCACTTTTTTTGTTTGCATGTTTTTGGTGACCAGATCTTATTTTGGAATTTGGTTAAACTGGCTTTTTAACATACAAAATAGCAGCAGAGAAAGAAATATATAAAACTGTGTAGGTAATTTTTTACAGTTTACTGTGCAGTAAGTAATTAGTGTTTCTATCCCATAGATAATATAGTAAAACAGTTTGTTTTTTTTTACTTATAGCCACACTGTCACTGTTCAAATTACAGCTCCTTTAATTGGCAAATGACTATATTTACTCTTTATATATATCCACTCTGTGAGTGGTGCAAGATTTTTTCTTAGGGTCAGCTCACGTTCCTTAAAAGCACAGTCACCGGGATGCCTAGGATTGCTGGAAAGCTTGGCATGAGCACGACCTCCTCGCTCTCACATTCCTACGACTTAGGGACTGCATCTCAGTCTGCTGGGTGCTGTGACCCAACTTGCGGATGATCCCCTCCAATGCTCAGACTGACTGGAGAGGGCACATGTCAGGGAATCCGGGGGGACTGACAGTTAGCACACATTAAGAACATAGGAGCAAGAACATGCCTGGTATGCTGAGAATAGTCTTATCAGCTGCATTGCACTATCTGTAACATGAAGGTCTTTATGTTTATTTATGATGCCTTTCTTTGTGAAGAAGCTCCTGATGAAGGCATATTTTTTTAAACCAATAAAAACTATAGATCTAATGAAATTAAAGCGTCAAAGCATGTTTTGCTATAAAGAAAACTTAATTTGACCTTCAGTAACATGATTTGTCTTATAGTATTTCAGGCTGTGTGACCCTGTTAGAGAAAAGGCTATTTCAGGACTGGCTGTGTGTTTGTGTGTATGTCCACCAGATGAGCCATTGCCCCTTTTTTTGTTATGATTCACATGTGACTTATTGTGTCTCTGCAGGCTTTCTCAGGTATCTTGTCTCTGGAAGAATCGATGCAATGTTGTTAAGTGTGCTTAACTCTGGATATGGAGGCACCAAGCCGTGACATTGATTCATCCTTGTAGAGTCCTTGTGGAGTAATGAACAAAAGCCACATCATAGCCACAAGCAGAGATCCCAGTGAGCAAATATAATACCTTTGTTAATCCTTTAGCTAAACCTGCGTCTCTCACCTCTTTCCTCAGTCCCTCGGGTCCACGGCCATAACACCATCCCAGATATCGACTTTGACATTGAGCTGGGCAACACAGCAGAAGAAGTCAATGACGACCCAGGTAAACACAACACGTCTGACAGAGACGATCAGCAGCATCCCCGCTATGGCAGGCGGCAGAGCTCAAAATATGACGAACAAGCCGCATTTCCTTTGGGTACAATGAGAACTGACAATCGACTCCTGCAGTGTTGCTGCTGAGGCAACGATATTATAGTGACCAGATGTGTTTTGATAGGCCTTTCAAAAGGCAGTGACACATGACATCTGGCCATATCCATTTAAATAATAGCTCACAGTCCAGAATGTGCTGCCAGACTTTTCCACTTTTCACATTATGTTTGCTTGACTGCTTGAATGATTAATTGGTCACTTGGAAGTACACCAGTGCTCTGCTCATAAGCTTCATATGACTCAGCGTAGATTCACTTTAAGAACAATAAGAAAATAGACTGTGTGAAGACACCGAGTTTTATGTGTCGCATTTGCTTGGCGTGATTTATTGATGCCAGTGGGATGCAAATTAAATTGCCTGATGATTTAGTTACGTGTTTATTTTGGTTCACAGATCCTCATTTGCTATGCGATGTCAAGAGAAAAGGCATTTTCATTGGCTCAGAAACTGAACTACAAAGTGTTTTTTCAGATGCCCTGTTTCAGGGAAAAAGTGATGAATGTTATTCTTATTTTAGAAACAATCTGCAGAGCAGTGCATGGATAATACCGCAACAATTTTGTCTGTGTTGTTGTTTAGGCGTCATCACTTGGCAAGAAATCATAAGTCACTGAATATTATGACTTTCTGTTGTAGCCATAATGTATGTTATTATGATGTAGGGCATGCATACAATAAGCTAAACATGATGAAGTACACTCACTCAAATACACTCACACGTTGTGATATTAGTAATTCAGGTAAATGATACATTATTTGTGATTTCTTAGCTGAATGTATTTCCTTTTGCGATTTATGTAGCTTCATTTCCTCAGTGCATCAGCTCTCTCCAGAGATCACAGCATTACAACAAACGGTTACACATTTATTGTATCATCAGAGGCAGCTTTGACAGGCCTCTTGATTCTGGTGAAGTTAGAAGTATGCAGTAGGGCTCCTGTGGAGAATTACACACAGCAGACTGAAGATTTTTTATATGTGTGTGTGTCCTTCACATTTCTGAAAAGTGTGTTTGGTTATATTCAGAGTCGGGGTATCTGAGCTGCTCCTTTGATGATGGTCTTTGTGGCTGGATCACAGACAAAGATGGAGACCTTCACTGGGAGACGACACCTGATCCTTCAGGTAATTGAAGAGCAGGGGTCAAGATTTTTCACTCACACACTCAAATCAAGAAAACTGTTTACTTTATTGTCAGTAAATGGAAAAGAGAAAAACTGTCCCCCTCTACTGATATGCACACACATCCAAACACATACAGTCAGACAGTCTAAGTGGCTGAGTTTTGTTCTGCTCAATTACAGGTCAAGATGAAAATTACTTGGGGGAAGGACTGTAGTTTGTCTTTTCTGCAGATTAGCGCTTTGCTCTACAAAGTATGCAAATGAGAAGCGGATTACGCGACCCATCGACGGTACCTGTGGCTCATATTAAATGGGAACACAACAGTGTTTTTCTTGGGATTCAGATGAGGGGGACCTGTGGTGAATTATGTTGAGTGGACTCAGTAAAGAGTGTGAAAAATAAACAGCTCAGAGTACCGGCACTGTTTAAGCAACAACTGGCTCCACTGCCAATTGGCTTAGTCCTGCAATTACTAATGTGTTTCCAGGCATTCGCACTGAGGCCAGGTTTGTGCACGCTCATTAGTGCAAGCAAAGATTTCTACCCAGTCCTGGAAAATTATTTACATTAAATCACAGCCTAAGCTCGAACTGATTAATTCCACTTAATGTTATATTTATAAATATGTGTGTGTTCACCTATATCCAACTTTTATTGTGTTAAAAAGCATGTACTGACTGACTGTTCACTTTGTTTTGTTGATAGACAGCCATTGGCAAACCCCCATGGCTCTTAAAAGATTGGCAAAGATTTAGAGAGAGAACTCATGACTTATGCAAAAAGCCTCTGTAGGCTGCAGATACTTACTGCACCCCTATGGTTAACACCATCAGCCAGACACTGATCTGCTAGATAAGCAGAATGCATCTAAATGAATCAGCTTTTACCCAGAAGCAATTTCACCTTTGAATTTTTACAACTCTATAGCTCTACTAGACACTAATTATGACTTAATAAAAGAAAATGTCTCTGGTAACTGGATATATTTTGAAGTGAAGAAACTTAAAGTGAGTTTGGTCATTTTCTATAATGATGGTGTTTTCAACAATACCCATACACATATTAAAACCAATAGTAAATTACTTCTACTTATGGTTTATGCCTGTCAGTCTCCAACCTGAATTATTTTATTAGTCTGTGCCATAGACGTCCATTGTTATTTAAATAAAAATAAAAAAAGATCAGAAACACTTAAGGGACACACAGCGCTGCAGTGGGTGACATGCTCCTTCCATATGAAACACCAAACCAACATATTTGTTAAAACCTACCTACCTAACCTACAAGGTCCCTGAGATCTTCAAGCCAGTCTCTTTTAGAGGTTCCAAGGGCCAGATATAAACGCCGGGGTGACCGCACTTTTACTGTTGCAGCCCCTAAATTGTGGAATAGTCTACAGCTACTGACCTCAGTGCTTTTAAATCATTGCTTAAATTCGGCTTGGCTTTTAATACACAGTAGGGCTTGATGCATTCCTTTTAATTTCCTTTTAATTTTTAATTTATTGAATGTATGTTAACTGTGTGTCTGTGTTATTGTGCTGTTTTATTTTTATTTGCACTGATCTTATTTACTCATTTTAGTCATTTATTGTGATTTTATTCTGCCATGTAAAGTACTTTGGTCAGCTGGATGTTGTTTTTAAAGTGCTATATAAATAAATTTGATTTGATTTAAAAATGTTGCTCCAAAAGCTTCAAAAGGCCATAACTTTTTACAGCATCTGAAGTAGCAAGACTCAAATGTGCATGTGTGAAATCTTGGTCAAAGAGTGAGGAGCTGGCAGACTGTAAACAAAGCCCTGCTTTGCTCACACGGAGATCTTGTACATGTGCAGTTGATGCTTCCTTACTTCAAATATTGTAAAAGGCTAAGGTTGTCTAGAGCTTTTGGGGCAACATTTGAACAAATATGCGGGTCTGGTGTTTCATAATGACGAAACATGTCGCCCAGTGTAGCAGTGTGATCGCTGATGTGTTTTTTGTCATTTTGAACAACAATCAAGCTCATCCAGAACTGACAGACATTATACATAAGAAGAGGCAATTCATTGTTGGTTTTAGTCTCTGATTGCTGAAAAGACTATTATTATAGGAAATGACCAGTCTTATCCTTTAAGTGGGTCTTTTTCAAATGTCGTTCCTTAGTGCAGCAGTTGGATGCCAACAATTAAATACATTGTGTTATGACAGACAGAAAGACCTGCACAGCTACTTTTAAAATGGTCAGTTGACCTAAAATAGACGTCCTGTTTTCTGGCTCCCAAATACAATATGCTTTCAAAAATTGTATTTTGAAAAACTGAGCCCCAACATGTCATTCCAGAAACAATACTACACTTACAGTACCCAGAACAATCTATACTGTAGATGTTAGCATTAGCAGTTAACATGGGCACCGTTTCTGAGAAGGAAAGCAGTTCCAAAATAGTCTCCATAGTGAGGTATATCATTTATACTAAGTCAACCAGGACATTGTTTCTGGAAAGCCAAATTGCTGTTGTAATTTTACAAATGTTAAATTGTCAACTGTTTTTCCTAACCTGCAAATATCACAAACAAAGCTCTATTCAGTACTTAGTGTGGCAGCAAGAATCTCAGACACAGACAAAAGCAGATAAAGGGCACAGTAACACACTACAGGTGGTGCCAACAGGTGCAATGAAGCCAGCAAAATCACAGCATTCATATGGTTTTTAGTGCTGGTTTTTAAAGATACAGTCCAGTTTTATGAGTTAACACAATTGTGTTACCTATTTTGACAAAGAAATTACATTATTTTTATGAAGTGACTGTAATGTTCTGTCACTTGGCTCTCCAGGTGGACGGTACCTAACAATTCCAAACGTAGGAAACAAGAGAAGTGGGCGAGGGGCACGGCTGGTCCTCCCACTCACCCCTCCCTGGAACGACGGGAATCTGTGCCTGTCATTCCGACACAAGCTGGCAGGCCACCACGTAGGCATGCTGCAAGTGTTTGTGAAGAAGGAAAAGCAGTACAGTCCAGCTGTCTGGGGAAGAACAGGTGGAAATGGCTGGAGGCACACCCAAATCACATTATGGGGCACAGGCCTGGAAAGTGTAAGTATAACAATAAACGGTATCAAAGAAGTTCACTCATGCAGCAAGGACTGATTTTGAACTTTTTCCTTTAAACAATTTTGACAATAGTGAAGAGAAATGATTGTGTCCCATTTCATATAATGAAGGGGCACAAGATGATTGGTTCTCTATGGTAGTAGCTTAGTGTGCACTGTGCTGTCCTTCACCAGGTGATCCTGAAGGGGGAGCGTGGGCGAGGCAGGAGTGGAGAGATGGCTGTGGATGACATCGCCCTGAGAAAAGGCTCCTGCACAGAGGAGTACAATCTGAGGAGACTCTGACTGACAGAACAGAGAAAGGCAGGAATAAAACAGGAGGGAATATCATCTCAAAGAGAACTGACTTTGTTGTGACACCCCCTCACTCTGCCTGGGCTCTCGCTGGTCTCCCCAACCCTCTAGCCATCCTGTGAACAAAATCCGAAACATTGTGCATCAGTGGGTTTCTCTTTCTCAGCTATCCGTGAATAAAAAGACTGCACCAAATGTCATAGGCAGATCCCAGCAGCATACCCTCATCTTCTCAGCATCTCTCTCACTCCATCACCTCGTTGTTCTGAAGCCTGCATGCACCTATTTGTCATGGAAATGTCCTCCATCGAACTCAGCCCCAGCAGCCTCCCAGCCACACCACTGAGATGCCCACATTCAATGTAATTCTCATGTAGAGAGGACCACTCCCTCACTGCTTTTCCTTGCATTAATGTTTTAAACCACAAGCCATTTGCTTGCTGTTAAAACATGCAGCCAGGGGTGTTTCTATTAGCAATATATCAGAAATTCACGTATACATTTATTTGAGGGTTAGAGACACAAGATTAAAATTGTTTGTCATAACTTCCTTCTAATCCACATTACTCCAAATCTGATGTAGACCCAAAGACCCAACTGGAGAGTTAACCTAGCCCTGCTTTTGTTGGTCTGAGTTTTGGCTGTTGTTGCCATTCTATAGCACAGTGTTGACTGAAACAGTGCTGCTTTTCTTTTGTTGTCACAGTATTCCAGAGATCTGTTTGGCAGAAGAGTGTTTCAACACCTACTATAGAACCTTTTCTACCCCGATCTTTTATTGAAGCCTCCTAAAGTTTAAACATACTGCAATCATGTTTTACAGATACTTGAAATGTGTCAATCAGAATCAATGTATGATTTTTGACGCTTGTATATCAACAGCTACTCTCTATTATACAATATGTGCTTTGTTATATTACTGTAAGTGCAGTTTCTATAAACAGTTACAGTATACCAACAACTTTTTAGGCTTTCACAAATTGTATTATTGTAAATGTAATTGTGTGTACATACTCAAAATTTATGATCCCTTTTGTTGTGTGGTTTATATGTTATATAAATTCTTATGATTATTCATTGGATTTCAAAATGGTTGGTATTTCAGCTTTTAATTAAAGAACATGTATACAGATAGAAACCTTGTGTAGTGTAAGGCTGTTTTAAGTGCACAAACCGTGTATGTTCATGTGTTATGCTATAATGCTCTGTCTGTAACTTGCACATAGTTGCATATTGTATGCTGTAGTAATGAAGGGCACAGGCTGGAATATAAGGGTTTTCTGTATGCATGTGTGCATTCACCAAATTCAAATTTATCCAGACTAATATGTAAATAAAATACATTTGGCTGATATATTATGAAACACAGTACAATTTATTTTTGTAGTAGCTGACAGCAACAGTGTTTAGAAAAAATGAAGTAAAAGTTCATTTTAAAGGTATCTTGTTGTATTTTTGACTACGAGCAGCAGTATTTTGATAATCATTGTAGGAATCATGAATCTGATTGGACAGTGGTAATCCAATCACAGAGCAGAGTCAAACTGTCCAATCAGAGGCCAGCTGAGCCCTTCAAATTGTACTGTCCTGCAGGTTCTGTAAGTTTAGTGTAGCAGAAATTCAAGATGGCTTTGGTGTGTGGTGTTCTGCTGCTGAGGTGGGTGGCATTAGAAAATGGCAGAAAACCACAGTAAACATTTCATGTATTGTCTTCTGTACGTATGCAGTGCACAGGTATCCATATGTAAATTTTCTAGTTGAGGTGGGCTACTTTATCTGGCATTAGTCAAAATTAAATGTTGGTATAGTACATTAGCAAAAATGCTAGCAAGACACCTGGGATAAGTTAGCTGTCGAGTAATGTTACATTTTTGCTCTACTTGAGCGTGTTTATTGTCGGGGTAATTGTTAAACCTGGTTAATCTAGAAAAAACAGACTTGTAACTTATCCCTTGATAGATGTGCAGTCGTATAAATGAAAGAGCTCCTCTAGTTTTTTGCTTGCTCCACTTATTTAGCTTACCATGGTAAATATTGGGGTCAATTCTTTTTTTTGTTGAATATATATTATGTGTAGCTAAAATGCATTTTAAAAGGTGTGTTGGATTTTAAAACCATTAAAACATTAAAAGAGTATTTACACATTTTCACTGCCGACATACATCACATTGATTAGAAAGGATAATTAAGGCACTCCTAAATGGAGCAAGGAACGTGTTTCAAGGCCTTTATTTAAGCAAGCATCTTGGTATAAAAAGGCTGACGGGGCTTCTTCAGGGCGAGAACAAATTGTTTGCACCTGGTACTTTGTTTCCGTCCCAATCAAGATTTCTTCGATTGCTTCAAAGGAACTGAAGCCGTTTGGATTGTGTTGTAGATGGGGCTATGAATTTGTGTTGCTATTGTCTCATGCTGTGCACACCTGTGACATCTTCACAGTAAGATAGCAATTTGATGATACCGTGGGCAATTAGATTTAATTTATATTTATAATTAATTCACAAAGGTTTGTACACCCCATTGTTCATTTACAATCATTTGAAATTTCATGCATTTAAATGTCATAATTAAGAACGGGAATGTATGATGCAGAAGTCACCTTGTAAATAACTCTGAGTAGCCTACTGAGTTATCTCTACATTTGTCACAGAACCCATTCCTCCAAACAGCCAAGACATCCATCTTCTTGAAGCTACAAAGAAACTCACACATTGGTGTTTCAACTAGCTCCAATATTTGGCAGTGGATTAATTTAGATCGAAAACGAGAAAATAATTTATTTGTTCTAATCCAGAATGTCAGAGCAAAATACAAGCTGAGGCGCATTTGTCAGGGTTCACACACCAGGGTGCGTAGGGTGTAGCTCTGCACCGCAGCACGCATGCAGCAATCCATGTATTGAGCGCGAAACAAAAGAAATGAATGGACTGTATGTGAAGGGGACCAAGTTAGGTTTTTGAATAATACTCATCATCTCAAACATAACTGACTCATGTGGATGGACATAAAACAATTCTTTACAGAAGAGATGAGGGTGAGAGAGGAAGACCTGGCTGTAGCTGGTAAGCAAGGTGACGTACGGAACCAGACGCGGATTTTGAATGTGAATGGACTTCTGTACATCAATGCATGTGATCAGTTGAACTACTCTTAAAACTCTATTTACTACATGAAATAAAATAAATGCCAAATATGTAGCATCACATGTATTGGTCTCTCCTTCGAATCTATGTATCGAACCATCCACTTATCTAGCATAGCACGACAAACCATGGAGCATATATTTAATATCAGTGGTGGGCAGTCAGGGCCAGCAAGGCCTTCTCTGCTGGCCTAAACACTATTAGAAGCACTGACCTACATTTACAACCGAAATTCTAATTTTTTCCATGAAATTGTATTAATTTATTCCCAACAGTCTGCTCTCTTCATTTCATAGTATTTCTCTTGGGTTTTACATTTCAATTAATGATTTGTTAAAAGATTAACTTGTGAAAGTTTAAATTTGACAAATCTAATTGAGGCGGCTTGACAATCAAATTAGTTACTAGTGTGAAATGCAGAAGAGTGTAAAGAAATGTGCAATACAGGGTCAGACTTTTACACCATAAAATCCTGTTGAGAATGTTCTTAATGTATGTTGAAGTAAATATTTTAGCAGTAGTAAAAGTAGTTATTTCAGTAGCAGCAGTATGGCTGTGGAAGGGAAGTTCACAAACCAGTGAATAGCACATTTCATTCATGCAGCAGACATTAAGGAAAAAGAATTGTGTGATTTGAGTAATGGGGGTCCTGTGCCCCAGTAGAGCTTTATGTCTAGCAACGCCCCTGGTACTAGCCAACTAAACTAGAGAGAATCATTCTCTCCATGGTTAATAGCCAGGCCACCATTCTTTAACATGAAGTTATATCATTAAATCCTGGCCTTGCTTCCACTGGCAATGCTAACGCTCTACATTAACATTCAGTTCTGGCTAATGCTTTGTGACAAAGTGGGTGAGAAAACACCATTTATCCCCAGTTGTTTTATGTACTGCAGGTACATGCTGTCCTGGGATTGTTTGTGTTTGGCATTATGTTTTGTTACAGTTACCACCAATATCTTTGGTTAAAGTAGAACAGATACAATTACTGTTTAAGTATAATTGTGTGATTTAGCTACAAGTTGTAAAAAATTCATTTGTAGCCTTTGTGTTTATACTCACCATTCTTCCAGAAGACAAAAGGAGAGGGCATTGAACTTCCTCATTTTATACACTCTCTGACATCATTGACGATGTTGTGGGGTTGGCCAGGTGTGTCAGACACACGAGGAATTCGACTGTGGTACACTACAATATGAAAGTGAACTTGCACTGACCGCAAATTTTCCAGAGTTAATCCATTAGAATCTGCCTTTATTAATGAAAAGGAACATAAAATTTACACGACTGTGTAGTTCTAAGTACATAAATGATTCAGACAACATCAGAATCATAACAACATTGATGGTGCCATAGAAAAGGTGACGTGGCACAATGTCAGAAATCCATAAGCCTGGCACATATGCTCATCTAAGGTTTTTTTTCCTCTCACTGCTCTTGAAATTGTAAACCTGAAATGAGCAAACCTGTAGAACACTGTTTTCAGGCAGAAACCTCAAAGTAGGTGCATACAAAATTAGGTTTATGAGTGCAAACCAAAATGTCCAAGCATACAAGATAACCTACAATAAGATGCAAGTTACAATAAGACACAAACCCGTTTTCAAGCACATCTTTTTGAATAATTTTATATTCCCCATGGTACTTCATGGTCTCCTGGAGGAGTGTCAAAGCTTGAGCAATTTGGAGGAAAATCTCTTATCACCATCATCATTGCTATAAAGATAATTTTAGTTGGATTTTTCACCTTTTTTAATATTTTTCATTTTTTTGATAACCTGCCTTTCAC